CCTCTCCCCGCTGCTCCTCCTGCAATCCGCTGACTCTCCTCTCCCATCCCCCTCTCCCCGCTGCTCCTCCTGCAATCCGCTGACTCTCCTCTCCCATCCCCCTCTCCCCGCTGCTCCTCCTGCAATCCGCTGACTCTCCTCTCCCCGCTGCTCCTCCTGCAATCCGCTGACTCTCCTCTCCCATCCCCCTCAGCTTAATCTGAAGTTTGAGATCGAGGTCCTATGTAAAAATCTGGTGATTGACCTCAACGACTTGAAGCCGGGGAATCTCCTGAAGGACAAGGACCGCCTGAAGTCTCTGGATGAGCAGCTTTCCGCCCCGAAGAAAGACGTGAAGCCACCGGAACAGGAGCTGTTACCCAATATCATCAGTGCCAACGAGTACGCCATCCGCACGGCGGGCAAGCTCTGGGCCTCGGTGGAGAAGCAGGAGTCTGACGCAGTCTTCACAGGTAAGCTCTGCGTCCGCGGATCGGTCTGCCCGTCCGGCCTGAACTCTATCTAAACGTATTGTCTTCTCCTCAGCTACAGCCACAGCCCCGCCTCCTAGCGTCACCTGCGCCGCCACGGTTCCGCCGCAGCCGCAGTACAGCTACCACGACATCCACGTCTATTCCCTTGCTGGGATTGCACCTCACATAACGCTCAATCCCACGGTGAGTGGCGGGTCTTGTTACCCGGTGTATGATCTCTGTGTTACCCGGTGTATGATCTCTGTGTTACCCGGTGTATGATCTCTGTGTTACCCGGTGTATGATCTGTGTTACCTGATGTATGATCTGTGTTACCTGATGTATGATCTGTGTTACCTGATGTATGATCTGTGTTACCTGATGTATGATCTTCTGTGTGTTTCCCGGCGTATGATCTCTGTGTGTTTCCCGGCGTATGATCTCTGTGTGTTTCCCGGCGTATGATCTCTGTGTGTTTCCCGGCGTATGATCTCTGTGTGTTTCCCGGCGTATGATCTCTGTGTGTTTCCCGGCGTATGATCTCTGTGTGTTTCCCGGCGTATGATCTCTGTGTGTTTCCCGGCGTATGATCTCTGTGTGTTTCCCGGCGTATGATCTCTGTGTGTTTCCCGGCGTATGATCTCTGTGTGTTTCCCGGCGTATGATCTCTGTGTGTTTCCCGGCGTATGATCTCTGTGTGTTTCCCGGCGTATGATCTCTGTGTGTTTCCCGGCGTATGATCTCTGTGTGTTTCCCGGCGTATGATCTCTGTGTGTTTCCCGGCGTATGATCTCTGTGTGTTTCCCGGCGTATGATCTCTGTGTGTTTCCCGGCGTATGATCTCTGTGTGTTTCCCGGCGTATGATCTCTGTGTGTTTCCCGGCGTATGATCTCTGTGTGTTTCCCGGCGTATGATCTCTGTGTGTTTCCCGGCGTATGATCTCTGTGTGTTTCCCGGCGTATGATCTCTGTGTGTTTCCCGGCGTATGATCTCTGTGTGTTTCCCGGCGTATGATCTCTGTGTGTTTCCCGGCGTATGATCTCTGTGTGTTTCCCGGCGTATGATCTCTGTGTGTTTCCCGGCGTATGATCTCTGTGTGTTTCCCGGCGTATGATCTCTGTGTGTTTCCCGGCGTATGATCTCTGTGTGTTTCCCGGCGTATGATCTCTGTGTGTTTCCCGGCGTATGATCTCTGTGTGTTTCCCGGCGTATGATCTCTGTGTGTTTCCCGGCGTATGATCTCTGTGTGTTTCCCGGCGTATGATCTCTGTGTGTTTCCCGGCGTATGATCTCTGTGTGTTTCCCGGCGTATGATCTCTGTGTGTTTCCCGGCGTATGATCTCTGTGTGTTTCCCGGCGTATGATCTCTGTGTGTTTCCCGGCGTATGATCTCTGTGTGTTTCCCGGCGTATGATCTCTGTGTGTTTCCCGGCGTATGATCTCTGTGTGTTTCCCGGCGTATGATCTCTGTGTGTTTCCCGGCGTATGATCTCTGTGTGTTTCCCGGCGTATGATCTCTGTGTGTTTCCCGGCGTATGATCTCTGTGTGTTTCCCGGCGTATGATCTCTGTGTGTTTCCCGGCGTATGATCTCTGTGTGTTTCCCGGCGTATGATCTCTGTGTGTTTCCCGGCGTATGATCTCTGTGTGTTTCCCGGCGTATGATCTCTGTGTGTTTCCCGGCGTATGATCTCTGTGTGTTTCCCGGCGTATGATCTCTGTGTGTTTCCCGGCGTATGATCTCTGTGTGTTTCCCGGCGTATGATCTCTGTGTGTTTCCCGGCGTATGATCTCTGTGTGTTTCCCGGCGTATGATCTCTGTGTGTTTCCCGGCGTATGATCTCTGTGTTGCGATTTTGGGGTTTTGTGACCTGTAACCGTCCTCTCCTCCAGATCCCTCTCTTCCAGACGCACCCGCACCTCAAGCAGTACGTACGGCAGGCCATTGAGCGGGCGGTGCAGGAGCTGGTGCATCCCGTGGTTGACCGTTCCATCAAGATCGCCATGACCACCTGCGAGCAGATCGTACGGAAGGACTTTGCGCTGGATTCGGAGGAGTCCCGCATGCGGGTGGCCGCTCATCACATGATGCGCAATCTGACTGCCGGGATGGCCATGATCACCTGCAGAGAGCCTCTGCTGATGAGTATTGCTACCAACCTGAAGACCAGCTTTGCCACTTCCCTGCGGGTATGCTGACTGGCACCAATCTGCCGGGCCGGGGTATAGCGGTCTAGTTTTGGGTGGAAGAGGTGGCAGATGTCTTGACACTTTTTTTTTTTGTTCCTCAGGCTGCCTCCCCCCAACAGCGGGAGATGATGGAACAGGCCGCTGCTCAGGTAGCTCAGGATAACTGCGAGCTGGCCTGCTGCTTCATACAGAAGACGGCGGTGGAGAAGGCTGGACCGGAGATGGACAAGAGGCTGGCCACGGTATGTACTGTGTCCCACCGCATGCCACGCTTCGGCCCCGGATTGTAGAAGAGTGACAACATTCATGCGTTTGAGGCCCCATTCACACTGCGCGATTCGCATTTTGCGCGATATCGCGCAATTGCTTGCATTGAGCAAGCTTGAATCGCGGCTAAATCCACTCTAAAAAGGGTCCTGCTGTAGCGACGCACGACCCGCACCAGCAGGACCCTTTGCCCCATTGAGAAGCATTAGAGAGCGATATCGCGCGGTAAATTGCCGCGATATCGCGGGAATTACCCCGCGATAAATCGCCAAGTGTGAACGGGGCCTTATGGCGTTTCCCTGCACGTGTGGACGTTTTAGAACCCCTGTCAGCGGTTTATTGCGGTCTGCGTCCTCGCTGTGGAGGTTCAGTCTTTTGTCCTGGCGTCACGAAGACCCAAAGTGGAGGGAAGTCCAATATTTTGAGGTTCCACCAGAACAGCAAGTGTGGAGAAATCTTGTCACGGGGACACTCTTTGGTGACAACGGTCTCGGAAGTGATTTCCCTCACTGTGGAGAGCTTTCTTTTCACTTCCTGTTGTGTTCCGGAAACAAAGGGAAATCTCCCCAGCGGGACCCGGACACGAAGAAATAACGGGCCGGGGCTGTTAAAGGAGAACTATGAGGGGG